TGTAGCTGAGGCGTTATCTGCAAAACAGAAAGCTCGGTCTATCATATTGTATTAAATCTTATCTTACCATGTCACATCTTACTATCACACTTCACAATCGTAATCATATTTTCATATAAAATCGTAATTGTTTGGAAAATTTGGAACCTGATAAATTTCACCGTACCGCAGTCATATTCCATTTATCACCTAACAACAGACTACATATCTTGGAAGATATATAAACACAAATGTGAACTGAATCACATTCAACTGCCAGCAACCAACTCACTAACCTCGTCAACACATTTACTGATCATAACTGCAATCGAGAACAATTCCGCCAATTCAGTTTTAACTCTACACAATCGATCGATCTTAACATCATCTGGTATGGGAAGTGGATCTCTGAAAAAGAACAAAACATGCGATAAAACACGATACGCGATTAACAGGGAAACGAAAACAGACGAAAATTACCAACAAATCAATTATGAAAGTATGATGGAACATTGTTCTTCTTATAAGAAAAAACTATGAATGTACAGGTATCCAAAAACGGTAGAAAACAATGAACTAAACTAATCAAAACACTACACCATTGATAAAACAAACACACAAACTTTCAGAAATATAAAGAAAAAAGGAACGATCGTAACACACCTTATATTTGGAACATAACGTAGACGACTTCTACGCAAATCGATCAGTTCACGTTCAATATGCGACTTCGCTCGCTGACACCACACCGATAACAACTTCTCTGATATCTGAAAATATCAGCAATCGACTATATCACTAATCAGTGATTCGTTTACTATTCATCAAATTGCGATTGTTCAACTGCAGTCAGAAACTATCAAAGCAACACAACCTATCATCCAAACAAACAAACAATAACAATAAAAATAAAAACTACTCGCTCACATCTCGATTCCTTCGACTCGGCTCCTTTTTGACATCTCGCTGAGTCAGAATCACAGCATCACCCAAAATCTTCAATGATGCTACCAGACGTAAACCTGCAATATCAAGTGAGCATATAACAGTACAAAATTTCCATTTGCAAACTAAACACCTTCACATGCCACTATTACTGCCTGGCGATGAATACATATGTAAATAATATAAATGAACGAAAATGTTAAAAAAAAAACGAATAAAATTTTAACAGCTAGTGACTTCTACACTAAATTTATTCATACTAATGAAAAAAGAAAACACCTCAAGTATTCACCAATGACTTTCATATCAAAAACAAACCATAAACAGTTGACTGATTGTAAAATGTGACTGGATTTAATTCGAGCGACGGGTCGAGCACGTTCAACAGTTTATCGAGCACATCACACGTCGCCAACAACCGATCATTCGGAGTGCCCACTCGCATCGAGTCAATAAACGCCATCGCTATCTTCACATTCAGTTCGATATCCGCCGGTTTCACCGATACACCTATCAAATCATCCGAAAATTTTACAAATCGCAATTACAAATCATTCACATATATCCTCTCACTGACGGAATCCATTAAAATATCTCGATATGCCTTTGAATTTTACTCTTTTTGCCTTGATTCACCTCGATCAGTTTTCATTATATTCACCAAAAATAACTTCTAAAAAAACTTGCAATTAGATGAAAATCTATCAAAACTTATTGATATGCACATACCATCATCTAGGAATTGATTGGCCAACTGAGGTGAGAGAACGCCGAGTTCGAAAATTGATCTGAAAAAGCACTCCACTGGTGCACTGTCGAAATTCACGCAGATTGACTCGAAGTTGTGTTGTCGTTCTTCGGATATCGACTTGAAAAGAACTTCAGGGATCTGAAATCTCTTCCATAATTTACTGCGTGAACGTTTTCATTCCCCGCTCATGCACGTTTTTTCCTTTCCATCTATATTAATCAAAAAATTTCGATAAAACATAATGTAATTCCCATCGGCGTTTGCTAAAACTAAGTGAGCGGAATAATAATATCAACGAATTAAAAAATTTCACCTGTCTTTTCGGTTTTTCAAAACACTCATCGAACCACGACAGCACCACATACTTCACCGTCCAATCGCGCCCGTTCAGTACGTCCAACAAAAAATCACGTGTCTTCTCACCGAATCGTACACCTTCATCTGCAAATCAAT